TTGGTTTTTAGAGTGGCCTGAAAAGTTTAAAAATTAATGTTTTCCTAGTTCCTATTTATGTCTCAGAGCAGAAGGTTGGTCAAAAACAGAAAATAGGAGAGTAATTACAAGATAAGACAGCAATGCATCAGACGTGGAAGCATAAAGTTAGGCAACCTCTTAACCCACTGAAGTCACTCATATTGCTTTGAAGGTACCTGAAAGTACCTCAAATTGCTTCCTCAATTTTTGTCATAGTTACTACAAGCATGAGCAACAAGCCAAGCTTTTCAGATTAAAACTGCTTTTCCCCAACAGCAAAGTTCCCACGTTACCACAGTGTACCCCTTCCGCCTCCTCCCACCAAAACACCCGACCTCTCCCCCAACTTTGTTTTAAGCTGCTTGACCCAGAGATGACCTGCGATGTGCTAGCACATCTGCTCACCCAAAATTAGTCATCACAGCAGCTCTACAGCAAAGTTTAATTAGGAAAATTTCAGTGTAAAAATAGGTGTATTCTTCTTGTTTTTGAGATGCAGACCTTGAAATATTGAAGTCCAAATGCCATGACTGTGCAGGCAAAGCCCAACATTAACGAAGGTGCAAGCACAGTTGGATCAAGTGTCAACAGTGTCAAAATAGCACAATCCCAGGCTATTATTTTACCCATGATGGAACATAACCCAAATTGTGTTAATTTCTCAAAGTGTTATAGTAAAGAAGCCTGAGAGGTTTGTATCTAGTGCTATGCCCCAAGGGTCAGTACTTGGTCTGGTCCTATTCAACATATTCATCAACGACCTGGACAAGGGGACAGGGCGTACCCGCAGCAAATTTGCTGATGATACTAAGCTGGGAGGAGTGGCCAACACACCAGAAGGCTGCACTGCCATTCAGCGAGACCTGGACAGGCTGGAGAGCTGTGCAAAGAGGAACCATATGAAATTCAATGAGGGCAAGCGTTGGGTCCTGCACCTAGGGAAGAACAATCCCAAGCACCAGTACAGGTTAGGGGTTCAGCTGCTGGGAAGCAGCTCTGCAGAGAATGACCTGGGAGTCCTGGTGGACAAGAAGCTCTCCATGACCCAGCAGTGTGCCCTTATGGCCAAGAAGGCCAATGGTACCTGGGGTGCATTGAGAAGAGTGTGGCCAGCAGGTCAAGGGAGGTTATCCTCCCCCTCTACTCTGCCCTGGTGAGGCCACATTTGGTGTGCTGTGTCCAGTTCTGGGCTCCCCAGTTCAAGAAAGACAGGGAACTGCTGGAGAGAGTCCTGCAGAGGGCTACAAGGATGACTAAGGGACTTGAGAATCTCTTGTATGAAGAAAGGCTGAGAAAGCTGGATACATTTAGCCTGGAGAAGACTGAGAGGGGATCTTATTAATGCTTATAAATATCTAGAGGGTGGATGTCAAGAGGATGGGGCCAGACTCTTCTCAGTGGTGCCCAGTGCCAGGACAAGGGGCAAGGGGCACAAACTGGAACACAGGAAGTTCCATCTGAATATAAGGAAAAGCTTCTTCACTGTGAGGGTGACCGAGCACGGGAACAGGCTGTGCAGAGAGGCGTATCTTCTCTGGAGATATTCAGAACCTGCCTGGATGCAATCCTGTGCAACCTGCTTTAGGTGATCCTGCTCTACCAGGGAGGTTGCACTAGATCTCCAGAGGTACTTCCAACTCCAACCAATCCGTGAGATACTCTCTGCCAGTCATAAAATAAAGCTATAAATTTTTTTGATAAAAGTCCTAACTAGTTGCTGCTTTTCAAGATTTAAGTCACTATTCCTATATTGAGGTCACCTTCATGCAGCATGTTTGAAATGACAATACAAAGAGTAATGGATTTTAAACATCAGTGAGGCCTGCTCAGCAGTACAGACAAGAGTATCACAGACTTACTAGTACCTGATGACTCCTGGGTTTTATGCAATGAATATACACCATGTACAACCCCAAAGGACAGCTGTCTGCTTAAAAAAAAAAAAATGCATCTTTTTTGTTCACAGCAGGAAAAGGCTGTCTTGCCAAAGGAAGGTTTTCTAGATGCAGGTGGGAAGTTCAGTGCTGACCTTTTCCCTGGAAAACACCACTTATAACTGGTAATTTTTAGTGTTGCTCCTTGACTGCCTGCTTAACTACTAGCTAACGCTCAAAATATAAGCTGTTTGTGATTTTAAACTGAAGACAATTATATAAACACATTTTGTCCTCATTTCTGTATAACAAAATAATTCAACTGTGGCTAGTTACACTGTACTGAAACTGGTTTAAGTTGAGAACTAAAACTATCCTTCTGTGAAAGAGCGCAAGCTGAACACACAGATGTCTCTGCTGGAATCTGAACTCCAAGTATAGGTCATTTGCTGCCAAGCACTGTGTCTTGCATCCTTTCATTATTCCAGCTGCCAAAGAACATAACTGCATAAAAAGTCATCAGTACACACTATTTCTGTTAGTAAAAAGTCAGTCTGTTAACACCGGTTATGACTGACATCTTGAGGTATTATTATCTACATGTGTTGTTCACTGACTTAGGACCCCATCATCCAAGCAAATTCAAGTCCACCACACTGTAGTGATGGGAGATGCTTCACAGCACAACGCATGCTACAATGTTTTGTATTAAAAAAATAATCTGTCAGTAAAGATGTAAAAGAGAACATGAAAGAAAACAGTTTAAAATAAAAGCTATACTGGAATTGTGTTCTCACTGGAGAAAATTCACTCTCATTCAATTCAGCAGAGCAAATTAACTTAGGAGTATATGTACTTTATAAGGGCAAGAGACAGTTGACTAATTTTTAAGAATTTATTCAAGAGCTGGGAAGGGAAAACAGCAGCAAACTAAGGTTAACTGAATACCCACTCAATTAATGGAGCCCAGAAATTAATGCCGTAATTAAACAGCAAATGGCCATTGCAATAAAGAGTAAATCCTTCCCTCTCTGTTTTTATCCTAACACACTAGGGCATTAATTTAGCTACACTGAATAGCAGTCTGCTAGACAGCAAATTGATTTTTACTGAATATGTTTAATGATCCTAATTTATTATATCAGCCTAGGTATTGAGCAGTTCATATAAAACCAGAATGAAAATATTCAACACTAATTCTAACGTAACAGAACTGGTACACAGCTCCACTGTCTTACCTCCTTGTTGGTAACTAGGATCCTAAGCTAAGTTAAAAGGAGCTTGAGAGATCTGCAGAAACCTTGCACTCAAATTGCATAGCCATTAAAGCAGAGGACAATACCGTGAAAGAGCTGCTCGTGACACTGTTTTCCCTTCAACTTTGTTTATTGATGTACTGAACATGGAAAAGTACAAAGGATCCAAACACAAAAGAAAACATGTACAACCTCTTAAATACTCAACAGAATATATTTTCTATTCCAACAGATGTGAATTAAGTCATACTATACAACTTCAAATAAATACCAGCCTTATATTTTACTAAGTGCTCTGATAAACACTGTAAAGTGAAGCCAAATTCACATGCCTTCTCATCAATGCTGTTAGTTGCTACAGCAGTATAGGAAACAAGCATGTAGCTACGGTTTTCACTCACATTGGAAAGTTTGTGATTTCTATAGTATATACATTTTTTAATGCAAAGAATTAGCTTTAACAATCTAAATGCACCTAAGAATGAGGAAGTGCTCAGGAGCCAATTGATTTTTGAATAGCATTGAGTGGGTCAGCATGAAAACTCGCTTATTCACTTTAGCACGCGCTTCACAGTATATGTACTGTACGATACTGAAATTTATAACTACAATTTAAAAGAATAGGAACCAAAAGCAACTGCAAAGATAGTGTACAGCTATGTTATGCATAGAACATTGCTTTTTCTAAGGGGAAGCGTATGAGCATCTCAGTTTATACAAAAAGCAGGACGTTACTACACAGTTGTCAGTGCATCCTGGTGAAGGCATCAAACCCTCAGCTTTTTTTAAAAATTTAATTATAAGCTAGATGCTAATCAGAAAATATTCTGTATTTTTTTCCTTAAATTTCTTCAATACATGGTAAAGACTTTTTCTATTTCCCCAAATAGTGATTTAAGCATCATACAAAGTTAAATTTCAATAGCATACAGATATTTATGGGTTTTGTATGAAAAATGTAAGGAAATTTATTCAAAACCTATGATTATACTCATTTTTTACCACAAACATATTTATAAACAAAAATGTAGCATCACCATAAACAGCTGAAGCTAGACTATCTACAAATAGCAACAGATCTGATGCACTGTAAATTCAAGTCCTCAGGACAACAAAAGTGAATAAGCAGACCTCAAGTAACAATGTTAATGCCATTTACAAAGAAAAACTCATACAAAAACATTCAAAGTTGAACATCACTTGGCATGTAACTTAAATAAACTAAAATAAAAATTAGCCAAAAGGTTCATAACTCAAGGTCTTATTTACATTACACAAAGCTCAGGTGTTAGCCTTGAACATAACTTTCAAAATACCTCCAAATACACCCAACTGAGGCCAATTCTGCTGATTTGCTAGTGCGCAAACCATGCTCAATGTCTTTTCTTAAGACAAAACAATTCTTCAAACAATAGCAAGTACATCACTAAACACCATGAGCTCAATCTGAAGGGAATTCTTTAGGAAGAACAGATTTTTCCCCGATTTCTCAGTATTTTAAGTTTCCTGCTTGCTCTTATATTATTTTTTAAATTTTCATTTGTTTCAAAATCACAAATTAATGTGAGCCACCTATCACTTAATAACCAGGATGATCAAAGACTCCACTGATGATTACAAAAATGAAATCAACAGTGCATCCCATTGACTCTACTTCTTAATACAAAGGTCTCAAAAGTATTTCTACATCATAAATCTTTCTAAATTTTCCCCAACAATTGCAAATTTCCTGGTAAGTTTTAAAAGCTCACTAGGTGTCATATGAAGAGATTTCTCAAAGTATTTAAGTCAAAATATTTGTTCCAGGACCAGTAAAAAGTTTCTCCAAATTTTTTTATTTTTTTATTTATAAAAATAGATGCTTTTTTAAACCCACATCAAAGAGGCTCTTATCTCTTTGGCAAGGTACTGCTTTACGAAAAGTTCTCCAGTATTCTTACAATAAGCTTTTATAATGTGTTCCCATTCCCCAAATGATAATTATAAAATAAATACTGCTTATAACTTTATAAATAAAATGTAAACTTCAGATTCTTTTCTGGAACAACAAAACACCAATGCATAAAAAAGTAAATTAAACACAAAGCAAATCAAGAATAACAAAAAAACAACTTAAAAAGTATAACACAAAGCCTCAATATTTACTCATAGGTTAAAGGCAGTCATGTACAAAGAAAAAACTTCTTCCCTTAGCTGAAACATTTTAAAAGGTCCACCTTCTTCAAAGAAGGCAATAGAATATGCATTGTGACAGGTAAAAACCCTGTATCTCTTGTCAATATTCAAACACAAAAGATATTTAAGAAGTTTTAATTCAAATATTAGCAATAAAAAATCTCACATATTCTTAGGATGCTAAGTAGTCATTTTATCCCCATTTCCACACTGGCATACAACAAAGGCATTTACTAATGCATAAAGCTTCTTGTAAATTGCCTTTGTTGTATAGATTTCATGTATTAATGCACTGAGAATAACTTGTTAGGCTTTGTGCGTTTTGTTTGTTTTGAAAGAGACCTGCAATACTCTATCCCCAAGGCGGTATCCATTCAGGCTGGCTATTGCCATAGCTGCCTCATCATAGTTTGTCATAGTCACAAATCCAAAACCTTTGCACTTGTTGGTGTTAAAGTCGCGGATGACCTTCACATTGGTTACTGCTCCGAAGGGCCCAAACATTTGCCAGAGGATACTCTCATCAGCATCAGGGGCCAAGTTGTACACAAAAATGCACCATCCAGTTCCTGCATGTCCAGGGATATTAATTCCGGCCAAACTGGTCATTCCATCAATAGTCATTGGAGGAAACCTACTGAAGAATGAAAGAAAACAAAATCATAAAGTAACTGTTCACAGAAAATTCCAAAGACATTTCAAAATAAAAAAAGAAAATGACACAGGGCTTTTCACAGCATGAACATGTTGACCAGACTAATTAGGTAACAAAATATTTTTTCCCCCCAATTGCAAAAAATACTATGTCAAATACTATACATAAGTAGGGGGAACAATGCTAGGTCTGTCTCTAATGGAGTAACATTGAAAACCAAAAGAAAAGCATGCCATAAAACCAGTGAGGATTAGTAAGCCATCTAAAACAGGAATTCCATGGAACTGCTACAAAAAGTTTGTCTCTCTCATGCACAATGCACCAAAATGAACAATCTCAGCTGAAGTCTCAACATGCAAAAAATCCAAAGTAAGTCTTACTGAAAAAGAGTGCGCAACATACTTAAGTGGGTTATTATGAACCTAATAGTCCTTTATTACCTCTTTACTCCATAAGCCATGTTGAGCAGATTGTCCAACCTGCAAAACATTTAGCAAAGTGTTCAGTCTTCAGACTTTTCCACCCTTTAATCTTAAGGAAACTTGGTATATTACTGCCACATCCCTTGCACTGCACAGAACCTCATGCAAAGTTAAAGCATCACCACTGAAAGAGCTGTGGCACCTTATCACACCTGATACAGTTAGTGAACACTGAATAGATGTTCTTGTGTAGCATCCACAACCACAAATAGTTCAGTTCAGAAAGTGCACCACTACCACAAGTTTAGCCTAAGTCAAATACTGATAGCATAGAGTTACAGGCAGTGACCACCTCAGTGAAATTTTCCAGATTACTAACTTGTTTTGGATGAAGACTTTACTGAGGCTTCTGACAGTTTCCTGACATGAATACCCAGACAGATGCAGGGTTTTGGAGCAGTAAGAAATGTTAGAACATAAACTGCAAAAAAGATTTTTCATTTTTCTACTCTTTTCCAGAATAAACTGTTTTTAGAATATATATACACACACATATATATTAGACTGTAAGCTTTCTCCATGTATTTCTTCCCTCACCTTCCCCCAAGCTACTAAACTGTAGTATGCCACCATAACTCTAAAACCTTTGGAATTACCTAGCCAATACCTGGAACATGCAGTGCCTACCAATCCTATTAATCTTATTCCTGAAGTCCTTGAAGTGTTTCTTTAAGCAAATTTCTACCCAAAAAAACCTCTGGCTTCTTCCTGGCAGAGCCCAGACACATGAAGAGGAAGTCTTGTTAAAGGTTCTCTTCAGGACTCCACAAAATACAAGCTCAGGTAAAAACAGTACCCTTGATTCAGTTTTTAGCTTACAGCTAGCTACCTTACAGATCTGTACCTTCTCGTGATTCTTCTCCAGTAATGAGCTATAGGAGTTAAGAACCATCACTGGTATACAGAATCCAAACTCAAGTGCTGCGGTAGTGTAACTACACTTGTGCACAAACCACTTGAAGATAATTATATTTGCTGTTTGCATCCAAGTAAAGGTTTCAAACAACAGAACATTATGATTCTGCAGTGAGCAGGGTTTGTGGAATGTACTGACAATAAAGCAAGGCACTGAACCCCTAGAAGAGCAGAAGAGGAAATTAAAAAATGCCTGACTACTATCAGTAGATTTAGTGTGGATGACAGAGGTCTACTGTCATTAACATTTAAGGGTGGAGAGGAAGGTGAAGAGTTCCAGAAACACTGCCACTCAGAGGTCCTTGCTGTAGAGCAGTCAGCTGCAGACTTCACAGTAATGGTATCACTGTAATAGTTTTCATCAGTTACCTGGATGACTTAAAAATATTCTGGAAAAATTCTCAGGGGAATTCACTGGACAATTTTTAAAGATGCTTTAAGTTACACATCCTACAGATACTGAGGAACAATTACATATAGCTGCTTTTGGAAGTCCAGCTCAACATTTTTCTTAATAAGAAAAAAAGCAGCATTGTAGTGATCCTATTGTTCTTTACTACTAAAAATTCACGTTGACCCTGTTTTAGGCCTCTGTCAACCATTAACAGTCAGGGCAACCGCATCAGGTAATCCTGTCTGAAATGTCAACAGCTAAGATTTCTTGCATGTGAAAGACATGAAAGATCGAAAGCATCGGTGCAATCTGAATTACTTAGCAGCAGAGCTGGAATGCAGCAAAGAGCAAAGACCTAAAAAGCCAAAAAGGGATGGATTGCCCTTTACAGTTATATGAATTTAAAATTCTGCAAGGTTGTCTCTTTTAAAGAAACAATGTCTGAAGGGCTTCCTCCCAAAAAATTCTATTAAAAAAAAAAATCTAATTTTGTCTGCAACCCCAGTTTACCACCTTGGGACCAGTCAGTTGAACCTTGTTCTTCCTTCCACATCAGTAAAAGTGAAAGAGATTTTACTCTTCCTCCTGTTCACTACAGACTTGGTACCTACTCAGTGTTTTTTGTTACCGTTATACTTTTAAGTGGAGTAAATCACGGTGTCTTTATGTTTCTTTCAGGCATCACTTTACACTTCGTATCTCAAAAAATTTTCCAGTGAAATTTAAATGGGCACTTGTGAAAATACACTTCCTTTTTAAACAAAAGTAAATCACAAAATTAAAATTTTTAAGGTTCAAAGCCTAATGTTGCAGGACAAGGCTAGTGTATTGAAATTACTTAACTGCAAAGAAGCTTTTACGTCCTATCCAAAGGAAAAAGAATTTCTACAAATCATGATAGATTTACCTGGAGTATCAGTTAAACAGAGTACTACCAAACACAGCTGATTATCTGGGATAAAGTGCACTCATAAGAACTCAAAGAGTCAGCAGGCCAGCCTTGCCAGAGTCAGTACACACAGGCTGCACAACAGCTCCCTCATAATCTTATTTCATATAATGCACTTGGGTCCATCTGCAAATGCAAGTTCCGCCCCTATGCTCTGCCTATGGAACAGTGGCAAGCCTACCTTTATCCAATATTCAGCACACCTTTTAAGGTAACTCATTTATTTCCTAAGAAATGGTAAGAAAATCCCAACAAATAATGAATAAAATTGATTATGCCTTTCCTTAGGGCAGAAATCCTACTCTAGTGCTGACCTTCACACCTTGCAGCACATAAGGCTAAAAAGCTGAAGAAAAAAAAAATCAGTTCTGCCAAAAGTGCAGTCCATGAACTCTGAATATTCTGCCTAGAAGGGTAGCCAGTGCAGAGCTTTTGAAGTTTGGTATATTCTCTTTGAAGCAAACTGCCAGCTCATTTTGTTTCTTGAAAAATAAAATAGTAACTGTTTGAGTATATTACTGTTTAACACATTCTAGTCACATAGCCCAGGGGCAGAGGTTGGGAAGAAACGATCAAAATCACTGGAAAAAATCTGATGTACTCATGAATGTAGATAATACAATATTTGTTTCACTTTGTTCTCACCATCTGTCCTTTCCAAGACACTAAATATCACAGGAAACTTTATGGCTGTAGTTTCAACATGATGGGAACATATATCCGCAAAAAACACATGCAGAAAATATTTGAATAATCTGCAATACAGAAGTTTGTAATAAGAGAAGACAAAGTGTGGTGTGCAGGATTGAGACAACTGACTAGGAAAAAACCTGAAAGCCAGAACAGGGAGGAGATAGGGGGTGGGAAAGAGGAGGCTGGCTGTGGCATGCCATATGGCTGTGAAGAAAATTGAATTGCCTAGGCCAATGTTAACTGAATCCGCTTGCACATTAATCAACAATAATCTAGGAAATTAAAAATAACCTTTACAAAGGGATTTTTTTTGGTGACTGTATGGAAGATGTCATCTCATTTTAACTCTAAGGAGGTTTATTAGATACTAAATGCTATCAATAGGATGAAATGCATTTTTGCTTTTAGCTGTAAGAACATAGCTGAAGTTCAACATTTTCATGCGTTTCTTTCACACATAGAAATCAGACAAGCAGGGAAGGGAAAGAGTGGAGGGAAACCAACAAGCCCACAGGAACACGTGGCTTCCAGCACTGTTGACACAAGTATGTATTTGACTTACCTAAAACGTTGAGCCTGCTGAGCTAGAGGTGCCGGATACCTTCTGTTTGGAGACTGGTACAGCTGGGAAAGGATGGCCTGATTGGTTTTTTGGCTTGGATTGTTAGCAAACTTTACAGTGATGGGCTCTGTGGCACCTGGAGGTTTCTGGCCATTCAAGCCCTTGATAGCTTCTTCTGCTTCAATTCGCTTGTCAAACCGGATAAAGCCAACACCCCTTGATACCCCTGCACAAGGTGAAGGAAGCATATAATAATTCAGAGACTCTGCAGCATTAGATGTTAGTATATTATTTTCATAGCCAATTACTATGTTAATGACCAACTGCTGTGAACACATGATAATTTTGAGCTTATTAGAACTGAGCTTTTGCTCAAAGTAGTAAGACTTTTCTACTGTAATTGTTTTAAATTTAACTAACATAAGATACATCGTGTAGAAAGCTTGGAAGGTTGAGGGAAAAACACAGTGGAGACAACTTAAACATAGTAAGCCAAAGGGTATTTCTGAAACAAAGCAATCTGGGGGGGAGGTGTAGGGGGAAGTAAAAACCAGCTGCACTGTAACCTCTGTTCAGTTTATGCTATCCTGCTGTATCCAAATTCACAGAAATTCTGTAAATAGCTTAGTCATCTGCTACCTAGCAGCAAAAAGTGTCTTATGGTCTCCTGCAGAACCCATTGAACTCCCTTTGGAGCAAATATGCTGAGAGGATAAACAATGGAGTACACGTTCTAGATTGCAGTAATGGGAATTACGGCCCTGTTTTAACAGTTCGTGGTTACCTCTAAGTAAAAGATTCAGTTTCAGCATACCACCGTACTTTTTTAGGTGTTATTTTTGAAGGAAATTTTTCTTGGGCCATAGATTCTTCCTTGGTATAGAAAAGTCAAAAACAACATGCAAGGGGGTCAGCAAGTGTTTATGAACAAGTGTCTTAGGAACATCACACCTCAAAAATTTATACTGTGGCTTAAATATAAACATACTGAGGTGTCAATACTTGAACCAATTAGCATTAAAGCTACTACAGCCAACACTAGTTAGTTGCATGCTTTGTTGTAATATTCCTAAATCCATTAGAGCCCCCTTATATTTTGGTTCATAAATAGACAAGTTAGATGCTTGTCCTCACTTGAGGAAGACATTAATGACAAGAAATGCAATGTGTTCATAAACAATGACTATTTAAACCATCAAAGCAACAATAAGCAGGTGTAAGAAAGCTTTAAAGAGGCAAATGTCACAGCTTCAACTTTGCATTTGTCATCTGTCAGTTTGTGTCACAACCTTATTATTCATACCATTTTGAGTCTCTCTTTCAAATTGTGAAGGAAATCGGAAGAAAGCTTAAACCTGAACAACGGTCTATGACAGAACTACTGTGCACATACTAGGATTTATGAGTACTTAGAATTACAGTACACGTTTAAAAGTTTAATTACATTTACTTAATTGGCCCATTTGTGAAATCCCACCATTTCTATGCATGAATATACAGGAACATACTGTAAACAGCTATTTATTGCGCAAAGACTGGAAATCTGACCCGCAAATCTGCTGCTTCTACAAGTCATTATTTGGCCTTTAGCTTTCATTTCTCTGCTTCTCTACACTGTCACCAACTTACACTTTTAAAACACTCCGTAACTATTATGTCTCAATATTGAGATTTCTGTTAACATAATGGAATTGCAAAGGAATACATGAGGTCCTCTACAGGTCAGACAAGCATCAAACACTGGCATGCACAATCCTTTCAAAGTAAGACCATTTGAAAACTTTATGACCTCCTACAGCTGAAAGCTGTTTGTCACCCACAATGATATGCAACTTTTTTGAAAAGGTACAACTATAAAAAAACCCAAGCTAGCTTATTATTTAGGGAATAATTACATAAGTAAATGAATTCTTCCTTTCCACACCTCTAGTTTATCTGAAAGATGAGAATTTGGAGAGCCCTGCTCCTTTGTATTTTTTGCTTTGTACACTCAATACTTCTGTCATGTACTTGGCATTTCATTTGATTAGTTATTTTTTGGAATAGGCCTGCTGGAAGCAGGTGAGGCAGCAAATTATAAAGCTCCTCAAGATCAGCCATTTCATCCAGCAAACACATATGCTTTACTGTCCAAGTCTGAAGAGTAACCAGAGTGTCACTAACACCCACTCGCTGGTTAAGACAGATACTGTGACACCACAACTAACCTACTAGAGCTTAGTTCTTTAAGGCACTGCTAAGCACAGAACTTACCCGCTCCTGAAGAACTCAAAGTTCATGTTCTTCAGCATGCCCAAAGTTAATGAAGCAACTTTGACAACAGTCTTAACAGCAATTACCAGTCCGAGTCTTTTGCAATCCTAGCCTCAGAGAACCAGCTGTGCATTTCTGCATAAAATTTTATTTTTATAAAAGACATGTTTAATAGCATTTCATAAGGCACATAGGGACTATTTTCACACAGCAGCTTGGAGAAGATGATGATAGCAGCTGTAAATTTATTACAAGCCATGAAACAGGCTTCAAACCTGCACCTTCAGGGTGGAAATGACTCAAGCTGGCCTAGTACACTCCACTATCTATTTTTGTCCATGCATATTTATGAACAATTCCAGCAGAAAATTGCATTTTCTGGCCTACATACACCTTTCATACATTCTTGAGAAAAGACTATTGGACTGAAAGGTGAAACATTTCCTAAACTGCCAGTCCAAAAATGAGGGGAAATGCAAAACTGCCTACTTACCAGTGACTTGGTCAACCAGAATACGAGAAGTAATAATACGTCCATATTGGGAAAAGAGTTGTTCCAGTTCTTTTTGGGTCATTGTTTTCGGAAGTCCACTAACATACAAATTTGCATCTCTGATAGAGGCCGAACTTGGTCTCGCATAGGATACCTTAAGAAAAATAAAGTAAAAAAAAACAGAAATCAAAGACTTTAGAAACAGTTGAAGTAGGACAGTGTTATTTGTTCTGAGATACTGAAATGTTTTTAAGGGCAGCCAGAAAAACTACCATGCAAAGCCCGTAAAGTGGTGTTTTCAGTGCTGGCTTCTGTGAAAACACTGAAGGAACACAACATAGTCCACACAGGACAAGCTGACTACATGAACTCGTATATAAATTATAATTTAAGGAGTACTTTCAGATAAAGGAGAAGAACTAGGTACATTGTCCAGCAAGCCTCGGTGGAGAAAAAGTGTTCTCACCTTACATTAATATTAAAAAGACAAATTTCAGAAGATCCAAGAATGTTTTCCTTTTAATTATTAAAAAGCATTAAAAAAATACAAAAGATTTCACTTTGATATCTAGGTCAAAACGATAAAAATACAGTACATAGCACTCAGAGCTTTGCAAGTGTTTTTCAAGTGCTGTGTCCTTTGTACATGTATTGAGCTTGCTATCAAATGACACACAGTCCTTCAGGAGATCAAGATAAACTCTGCTACATCACTTTTACAGGCTTAAGAATGAATGGCAGAAGTATGAATGCAACTTGCATTTTCGCTGTTCAGCAGCTTGCCAATTTCTGCAACACAGAGGTCTTACAAACAAAAGCCAAGTAACAGTGTGCTTCTCAGGTCATTTTGGACAGTTTTTACCTGCTGCCTCGAAGTGTCAGTCAGAAATATTTTATTAAGATTGTCAATTAGTTTCATCAACCCTTAGACACATACTATAAAAACAGCGCATTGAAGAGTTCAGTACCTCCCAATGAAGCCTCTATGAGTGGTTTGTCCTTATTACAGGAAAGATTAGAACAGAACATCCATGCTTGCGGAACAGGACAGGAAAAAATACTTCATTTGGGGTTTTCACGGTATAAATTGTAAAGTTAAAAAGGAGCCTCAAGGAGCAGTCAGATTTATCTCCTTTCCTCCCTGCAATGCAGGATTAGCCAACTCTGGGCAGCTGGAACTTAACTCTGTAAATCTATCTTTTGCCTAATCCTTTGACATTTATTTTCAAATCCTCCCCCTGTCTCATTTCCATGCAGATCAGCAGACTCTTAAGAGTCCTGTGGAAGCAAAACAAAAAAGGCAATTGAGATAGAGCACCCTGGAGACTAAACAAGCATTACTTGGAACACTGCTGTGATTGTTACCTAGAGGCTTTGTGCAAGGTATCTTCCAAAGCTGGCTGAACAGGGCTGACCTACAAAACTTGTAGCTGTCCAAGATAACGCACCATCCAACACAGAGCCCTGTAAGCCCCAGTGCCTTGCTCTTTAAATGGGAGAGCCACATAAAAGCTGAAGACCTGTGTTCAGAGTGCTTGTCTTCTAATCTCCCACACAGGCAGCTGGGAACAGCCTCACCCTTTTCTCCTAATTTTTTTTTTTGGGGGGGGTGAAGATGTGCAAGTTTAATCACAATAGAAAAGCTGCCATGAATGACAGAATTTCCTAGGTTCCATACTGTTTATTTCCACTCCAGTAAAGCTGCACTGAAGAACAGTTTATTTTCCACTGGAGCTGAGCCCGCTGAACAAAAGATTACTTAGTCCTCTTCCTTCTACGTGGCCCCTCCCTTTTTTATATTAACATGCACTACGGACTGTCCACAGAAGAGCTCATGAAAATTACCACCACCAAGGTGCCAGGTAGAAAGCCACAGACCCTTTAGCAAAAATGCCTATGATGGTAAGTGTAAAAAAACAACCAAAAAAAAGAGGCCCCACCAAACACTAAAATATATTCCTGACATCTCGTCATGGCAAGAATCTGCTATACGACTCTGGACAAATCTTTCCATCTCAGCTTCCCATGCCACAGGGACCTCTTCTATAATCCAGTCACATACTGGAAAATACCCATTGTCAGTGTAAGTTAAAAGTTTTGGTTGTTTCTTTACAAATGTCTTTTATTTGATAAATGTCTTTGAAGAGATAAAAACATCTCTTGTGATTTTTTCAAGATACAGTGTGAAGAGAAAGTAGTAGTTCATTTTGCAGACTAGCTGCAAATTGACAGATTAGATTTTCTATTTTGACTTGATTCTTGCCATTTAAGAAAGTCAACATTGGATTATACCTAGAAGACAATATCTACTAGCTGGAGTCAGCTTCACACAGCAGGAGTGTTCAGGTCATAAGTGACTGTAACCTGCCACAGAAAGCCTCTCTATCAGAATTGTAGTATTAAAAAGTGATTAAGGCCATTTTGCAGCAGCATAAGTAACTTATCCATATACTATGCAGGACCACTTTAAATTACAGCAATGATGGAATCTTCTAAACTACTGGAAACAAGACACCAGATAATAGATGTTACAAGAACAGCAGTAGTGTTCCTGCATGTGACAGAGCAGTTGATTCCCAAGAGCCTTTCACAAGGCAGATGACAAATTTAACAGGTCCTTCAGGAAAGGTAAATACATACGTCTGATTTCTTAAAATTTGCTAGAGTAGATTCAATATTTGAGTCCAAATCTCATCAGCAACACCAGCTTTTTTTCAGAGGAAGAAAGGAAAGGAGAGACCCTACTGTTATAATTTTGATATCCTTTCTTTAGATGAGTATTTGCAAAGTAAAGGACCACACGTACCAGTGGAACTACAGAAATAAAGATGAGGGGAAGTACAGTCTTGCAAGTCAAAGAGAAGAAGAGTCAGACTTCAGTTACCAGCTGTATGGCAGGTTCTGACACAGTTAGGTCAAGTGACTGATTTTGCCAGTTCCATGCTGGAGGTTTTTACAAAGCTTGTGTTAAACCAGGTTTTTTTTTCTTGAAGTGATAAATCCACTACCATTACATGGCTGTGCAGCTAAAGCCCCGTACTTGCAAGTTGTTTGAAACTATTTTTTTTATTTATTCTGTATTTTCAACCCTCACAGTACATACATCCATATTTGAAAGAACAGTTTCTAGATCTTGAGTCATTTTCTTACTCTTCTACAGGCAAAAGTATACATCTTGTGGTAGACAGAGATTCTGACAGGTAAAGTTGCATGAGAGATAGGAAACGTAAAGCTTGCCTGCGTTCAGCCAAAGCAGCAGCAAGGACAGCAACGGCTGCCCAAGAAGTAGAAAAATACAACAGCTGAGGAATGAAAGAACTTGCCCGACTTGCTGACTTGGCTATGAGCTTCTTTAAGAAATAAAGCTCCATTGCACACTTGGTAGGATGACCTTAAGGAGACCCAAGGCCAGCGAATGGAGGCACACTGGCCAGTGGACAGGACTAGACACAAAATCCTGAATTATCAAAACCAAGCAGTTCTGAACAGCCAAATAAATGTTTTTCAAAAGGAACCCTTCCAACCCCCCAAGTTTAACTCTACATGGGAGGAGGGCACAGCAAACTCCATTTTGTAACTGAAAACAATGAACTGTTATTAATGTAAAGTTTGATGCCAATGGAAGCAGGGGAGGACAAGCAATACTTATAAACTAGATGAAGATAGATGAATAGCTGCATGCATCACTGGAACATCTCAATTTTATCTGCCAGTTTTATATTTCTCTCTGGAATTGAGATGCACTGAAAACTGTTCTATCCAGTCCTTTTATAGCTGTCAGACACAAGTTTTTCTTTCTGTATCTGTCTAGTCAGGTATTCTGGAGAGAAGTCAGAATTCCTAGGAGCAACCAGCAATTTAAGGAAGGAAGGAAAACAGTGACTTATCTTTGTATTTAAAAAGAAAGCTATGCAACTGGTGGTCAAACATTTCACTGAGAAACTGGAAAAAACCAACAAACCATGGTTTGCTGACAATTAAGGAGATATTGTGGACTTTACATTAGCTTTGAACTTCGATAAATACCTGTTACTAAGCTGTTTTCTAAGCATGCAACCACTCAGAACAGAGGATGCAGAATGTAAGCCTCTCAAACTCCTTTCAAACAGGATAAAAGAAGTCTGTATGAATAGAAGATACCAAAGGCCTGCGAAAGCCCTTAAGCCATACTTCATGGTGCTACTGTTTTCCCAGTCTCCAAAATACCTACGCTTTGCTTTAGAAGTAGTTCTACAGATGTTGATAGATTAAATAGCTCCATTTTCTAACCAATCTAATACAGTAATTGGATCTTCCATCCAGCTGCCCACTGCTGTTATTCTGACTCAACACACTACATGAATAAAACTGAGGAAGTACAATGTAAGCAGAAATAAGAGTTGTGCTCTTTATGAACAGAAAAGGACACACACATAAAAAGTAAAGAAAAAAAGAAAAGAAGATCAAATAATTGACCTGTGAGGCAACACTTAATACTTTAAAGTTGTTTCCCTCCTGGTCAGTGACACTAACATAGGCTAGAAGCAAGTAACTAATTCATAAGGTCTGCCTGATCTGCAGTTCAAGTTCAGTAGTACTGAGAATGAAATGAAAATTCTCCCTTCTTACCCATACATTGCCCTGATGGACCTCCATGGTGATTACCACAGCCCAGCAGCACAGGCATGGATACCACAGTTCTTATAAAGCAAGCTGCCACAACAGCTTTATAGGTCTGGAAACCATGTTGATATCCCTGCATGCCATCTCCAGTGACTGATCACCTCCAAAACAAAGGTCCATCCTAGCAAGTAGGAAATCAAGCAAAGGTTTCTGGAGGCCTGTTTAGATGAACAGGGGATTAAATTCCAACACAAAACCAAAGTGTACGGGATGTGAAAGCAGGAATATATAAATGGTGTCCAATCACACACAGATGAAGTTAGGAAAGCTAAAGCCCACCTGGATTTAGTGAGAGATCTGAAGGGCAACAAAAAACATCTATACAAATATATTGGCAGCAAAACGAAGACTGAGGAAAACATGGACCCC